AGAGAAAGAAGCGGACAGAGATTCAGATAAAGCTAGTAGTGAAGATAGAGGTAAGACTTGTGAAATCCTAGAGAAAAACAATATAAAATACTTTTTGTTTAATCACCATAATCTTAAAATTTGTTTCATAACTGCGTCTCATACCTTTTTATATATTCTGTTTTAACTAGTACCTCTTTTCTTAACGTTATCTATCGTTTCAACAGCTGGCGACACTTAGGTTAATGCTTAACCAGTGTTGTACAGTCTCATAGACCACAACAGAAGCAGTGTCTTATTTTTGTTACCTATCGTTATATGTCTCATGGAATTTCCTTCTGTTATATGTTAGAACATTGTGTGATATGTACATTGACCTTAAAATGATTATGCAGAAGAAAATATTAATTGTGGCTGTAGCTTCTGTTTGGTAACTAATTCTTCTGGTATATCTCAAGAAATGTTTCTTAGAAGCACATGTATGGCTAGGGGAGGGGCAGTTTGTGTGTTTGTAAACCAGTCACCGACAGTTCTTCCTGGCCAAGCACAGGCCTGCTCATCTCACAGGTGGCTTTTGCCGCTGACATACGGTTATGATAACTGGGCTTCTTCTGGTTTTGAATGCAGATTCAAGGAAGAAGGCATCTCAGAGCCTGAGCAGCATTGACCACATGTACAGTGATGATGAAGATTCACAACTGTGTAAGATAATATTTCAGATTATGATTTTCCTGTAATAGATGTCAGTGATTTATTTCATGGTAATCAATAGGCCTGTAGTAAAATTGCTTGGCATCAGAACTAAAATCCAAAAACAGATTATGCAAGGGAGTTTATACGAGAATGTTAACTCTTTAATTTGTAAAGTTTATTGCCATGGCAGACTCTAGGAAGCGAGGCTTTTTCGCTGTTTTGACAGTCTCACTAAACAAAAGTTTGGGACATAATATACCACGTAATTTGCCGCTGTCTTCTTCGCATAGTTCTAGATTAATAATAATTTCCGTCACTTTTACAATATTGAGTGCCTGGGTTTTCTTTACCCCATGCGTCTACGAGATATTAAATGGCATGAAATATGTTTCTTTTTTCTTCAAAGAAAGGGTTTCACTTTTAGCAGTTCAAGGTCAAAGGTCTGATTGATTGGCTCTTCGCTATTTCCCCCCCCAAAATGAACCTGTTATGCATATAATTTGAAAGTGCATGTAATCAGTTTTTGAATGCACTTTGATTTAGCTCTCTATACCTAATATGACCAAAGTTACAGCTATTATAAGGTGACATTTGTCAAAAATTTCTGAATTTTGGAAGTTTTGGGCCACCACTATTTTTGAGACTAGTTTACTATTTTGGAGCACTCATAATCTGTATGGATGTTTGTATCTGTGATACCTAATATTTCTGTGATTTTCATGCATGATGAGCTGTTTGTATGAAATACATCAGCAAGTCATCATTTATACAATTCCATCCATCTATAGACAGGTGGATAGCACAGGTGTGGGCTTTGAACAGTAAATGTTTAATATATTTAGGGCCACCTGAGGGTTTGTCACAGTAATCCTGCTGACCAGGAAACACAAAGGCCAAGTTTTGATATAGTATTAAGATTTCTGTCTTCTGGGTTGTTGCGCTGTGTAGTCTGGTCAATGTTAACCAACGTTTCAGAGGTCATACTGCCTCCGTCATCAGGGCGAATCCAATTGAACATATTTACCTTGTATTAACTATTTTAGAAGTTAAGAGAACTGTCTGAACTGTATAATACATGTTCTGTTCATAGAATGACTCATTTGTGGAAATGCGAATATCACGTTTGAACATGAAGTTTTAGTCTGGTAACTCCGGAGTATTAAGAAGACATCACTTTAAGTTTTTCAATCTATATCATTGTTCAGCATAGAACCTTATAAAACACAGGTTGCTGGGCAGCAGAAAGCACATTGTTATCTATTATAAACAATAATTCTGCACTTCCAGTCTCGATGTTGTTTTTTTATCTGTGTTATAGTACGCCTTCCATCACGGTTTGCTGTTGTGTCAGAGCCAAAAGAAAGCGATAAAAGCAAGAGACCCAGAAATCAATCTGTTCGTGAATTTTTTGGTAATGAAGAATACTGCTACATCATGGATGCCAAGAACAATGGAAATATTGGGCGGTACCTCAATGTGAGTCTGTTTAACACATTTAGGACCTACCTGTAGCTCCTGCACGCTTAAAAAACTTTTCATAAGAAAAAACGTTCTGACCTGATCAGCATACCTGAGTGATTTAAGGGCTTGAGTGTTGAGGAATATCCAAGGATCATTTTGTAATATTTACATTTACACATTTTGTGGTTTCCAGCCTAGTGTTATTACAGAATGTCAGTCACAGAAGAACTTGTCTCAGTGTAACTTTGTCCACCACAAATCCCACATGGCCTGGTTGGAATGGGAACTGAAAAACAAACCTTGTCTTTTTTGGTAGAAATAGGGTGCGATGAATGACTTTTTACGTGGTTATAAAGTTATTTACTTATTTCACTCTAATAATGGATCGTGAAATGGACAAAGAAATCTGTTTTGAAACTTGTGTTTAATTATTTTGTTTCAGCATTCATGCAGTCCAAATGTGTTTGTCCAGAATGTGTTTGTGGACACCCATGACTTGCGCTTCCCGTGGGTGGCATTCTTTGCACTGACATACATCCATGCTGGAACAGAATTGACTTGGGATTATAACTATGATGTGGGGAGTGTTCCTGGTAAAGTGCTCCACTGTTACTGCGGGTCTAATGATTGCCGGGGCCGACTCCTCTAAGCTGTTTATATCTCTGTGGACTATCTTCCTCACTGCTCAGGAGAGTTGGCTGTTAGAATGAGTTGCTGTTTATTAAGACATCCATGTTGTATAACAGGTCATGACAAATATAATGGGTCAGAAGTTGATTTTATTCATGTTTATAGCACAGAATAATAAAAAAGTAGCTAACATGTACATTGTGCCTCCTCACTGAAAGAAATATTCACATATTATCTCATGTGGTTACAATACATCTTCTGTGTCTAGTTCCCAGACAAAAGTGGGGCTGGTTCTTTTTTCCATTCAGATGTTTTGTTCACAAAAAAAAAATGATACATGGGTAGTAAGGACATCGGTCTGGAAGTAAATGCAGAGCAACATACCTCTTTTCTTTTCAGTAAAATATGATTCACCATTTACGTATCCTTTCTTTAGAGGGGCAGCTGGATGGTCAGCCTCTCTTCGCCTTGTGTACTCTTCCACTAGTGGTTAGTCTTTTATGCACTAGGGACTCCAGAACACTTTGTCTGAACTTCATATGAGATACATACAGTAAATATGAATTCACGTCCGTGTGCCTGAAGAATATTTTCCTATATCACTTTCTTCATCCTTCTCGTAATGTGGTAAGAAGCAATGTAGTGATCTCTGCTGTGAACCCTCCAGTATGTTTAGCACAAAATAACACCACATTTGGTTTCTTTGTGGGAGATTCAAGTAGTTAGCATTTGTTTCATCTCATTTTTGCTTCGTGAATGAAACATACTGAGAATCAAGACTGCGTGTTCCTCCAAGGTAGAGCAAGTTTGCCATTCTTTCTGAGCATAAGCACATCTGCCTAATTTCCCAATTTTGTTCTTTTTCAGGCTTTCTGGCATTACTATTGCTCATGTTTATACCCAGTAGCTCATCAAAAGGTTGTTTGGTAGTCTTTCACAAGAGGGAGCACATCTGTTTCACTGATCGTGTAGTTTTCAGTAGATCAGGGACCTCATTTTATTTTAGCAATGTGTGGCTTGGAGTTACATATACAGTCTATCCATTAGATCTGTCAGACAGTACGAACATTTAGTTTTAATTCAAACTTTACTGCTTCATAGGATCGTGTATTTTGCAAGACAAGTCTCCGCTTTAAGAACTTTGTGCTTTCATTGGCAGCTGTAGTGATACTGGCTAACTAATAGATCTGTGATCTGATCTTGTCTAATACAGATTGCTATCGGCATCACTTTTTTCATAATCACAAGAACTAAAGTCTGGTATATTATTAAATTTAAAGCTGTGTTGTCATCATCATCATCATCCTGTCAAAGATTGAGCCCTTGGCTTGTTTCGGACAGTTGCTCAAATTGTCGATCAATCATAATAGTCTAGAGCAGGGGTTCTGACCCTATTTTGCTGGCGTACCACTAAATCTAATTTAACACATTAAATGTACCCCTTATCAAATGTGTTCAGTGAAAACTTATTTATGTTAATGTTATCATTTGATTTTCTTGCTTAGTTCACATACCACTCAACATTGGCTCACGCACCACCATTGGTAGGTGTACCATAGGTTGAGAAATGCTGGTCTAGAGCACCAACATTTTGGGAGCCATCACTGTGTCTGAAATGTTGGATATTTGCTTGGGATTTAAGTTGCTGGTCACCCAAAGAATTCATAACTCATAAATAATTGCTACTGACCATCTGAACAGTGTCCATGTAAATATCCAGTTTACTATGGTGACCGAAAGATACAGCCATCTTCTCTTCTTTCATATAAACATCTACTGTAAACCTCGTGGCTTGCTGGGACACGATGTTTATGGTAAACTCATGCGTAATAACCTCTTCCTCATTTCTAACTCCCACCACCACCTTTCCAAGTAACAGGCTGTACTTTCCGCGCTGGTACACAGGGCAGATCCCATTGTTATTGGGAAAGTCTATATGATGACCTGGAGGTTCTGAAGATGACTAAGCAGAATGGCTACAGTGCCCAGCAAATGTGAGAGGCTCTCAGTCCACTGAGTAGAGTCACCCTATCCCCAGAGAAATCTGTCTCGGTCACCTTCCCACCCTTCATGACCACAACCTTCTATTGCATCAGCAGTCTGCTCTCCAGACATAATATAAAGTCTGTGGGTCTCTCCCTGAGGAAGGTTTCCAGTGTCCTTCATCCCGTGAAAGTCAAAGTAATTGGCACTCAAGACTCCTGAAATGTATAGCGTGCCGTGCGGGCATGGTCACATCTACATTGGGCAGACCGGCCATTCCATTGGGACCAGGGTCAAGGAGCACCAGCATAACATCCGTCTTGAGCATCCAGACATCGACCATGGTCAAACACCATTAACCTGGGCGATTTCGACTTCAAGATGCCGTCCCATCCTCACCGCCAGGGCCTGATTGAGGTGCACCACACTAATGTGAAATGGGAGGATGGCCTTCACCTGAGCTAGCCTTGGAAGCTCCTCATCCAATCATCCAGAGGACACAGCCTCCGATACAGAAGCAGTGCTCGTCTGATACCACTGTTTGTTTTGTAGTAGCGGTTCTTACAAGATGCTAATCAGTAATCATTTATAAATAAAGTACAATTTAAGAAAATAATCTAATAACAAAAGAGTTTTATTTAATTTTAGTATAGAGAAACATTTAAATGAATTTTGTACATGTGTTGGTTTTTTTATTTCTTGTTTCAGTATATTAATAGTCTCCACCAGTATTTTGATGTGTCAGTGCCACACAGCCTTTGTTACAAAGTTTTGCCAGTACTGAATGCAAGATACCATTTTGATGAAAGCAGTCAATGGTAATTTAGAGGACTGTCAGACTCCAGTTTTACCAGTTAATGGTACAGCCATGCCCAGAGCAGTTCTGTTGCCTCCCTACCCTCTTATCTGCTGGGTATTGGGGGTTGTTTTTCGTGGAGTGCAGTGTCCAGACCACAAAACATGTTAAGAATACTCGGATGCTAACCTCTGTCTAGATATTGAATATTGGTTTCCATTATCTGTTGATGCAGTTCAGATTTGAACTTGGATTTGAAAGTTACATTTCACTGCTTGATTCATCATACTAGATATTTAACAATGCTGTATCAAACTGCAGAGATTATTTAGCATCACATGGGGTGGATGGATGTAAAGTGAAAAGGATTGGGAAGGAGTAGTCGTGGTATATTTCAAGATATTTTTGTCCATCTATGAAGAAACTGAGGAGAGTTATGAAAAATGTTGGGTCTCCCAGATCTTCAGCTGAGATTCAAATTTGATACTTCTTGATTACAATTTAGAAGTGTTACCACTTCAGTAAACCTACTTGGAATAATAACCTAGAACTAAATTTGTTACTTAAGCTTGTTATGTACTGTGATATAAAAATAGTCTACTGTAAGTGACCTATAAGTACATGTTATTTTTCTAGCATGCTTTGCAACATTATTACTATTTATCGTATCTGAATGATGTATCTCTGAACAACAACCCTCAGTGGTGAGTATAGATGAGTGTGCCGAAGGTAGCAGAAACTAAGCCATCAGGCTCACTGCAGACTGTGAAGCCATCGCGTTGAGTTGTGTCTGTGAACATATAAAGTGTTCTTTGCTGTACTTGCATCCTTTTTTGGTGTTTGTGTAGTACAAATACGAATCAATTATATTTTTCTTCTTTATTACGCCGTCTCCTTTACAGGACGTTGGCAACATATTATGAACAGGATCCTTCCATCCTTTTCTCAGACTGGGACCTGTTCATATATGTTCTTGGCAGATGATCCAGAAGTGGTTTGCCATTGGCTTCTTCTGTGTGTGAATGGAGTAATTGTTGGGATGCCACGGAGAAACCGGGGAAGCCCCCGGAGAAAAACTGTGTTGCCTAGACCATAGCTTGCCCAACACAAGTTATAAATTTGGGCACTGCCGGGAATCGAACCCGGGACCCCAGGACCGCTAGACCACTGTGGTGGTCACATTTTTTTTACAAAAGTAATAAACTGTGAAGATATTATACTGCTTAGAGACATGTAAATTATATTTTTGCTTGTGTGATGTTTGTTAAACTATGTTTCATGTAAGAGTTGACAGATTTTAACACTTTAAATCCCACAAATTCTACATTCTGCTCAGAGTGAATTTGTGTTTTTGTGCTGCTTAGAGTAAACAGCCAGTCACAGTGGCAATTAAATTTAACAACTGTCAGTGCTTTACATGTTTGTTTACTCAACGTTCAGCTTGATACTGTTATAAGGTAAATGGTAGGATGTCAGTGTTTGAATTCTGGGTTGTGATGCCACGTGAACATCATCATCAAGTGCAAGTTTCTGATCTATAGGATAGCTGAATTCATCCTTCCATCTCTTCAGTGGTTGACTGCTCTGTCTTTTTCCTTCAGGGTGCTAGTCAGACAGGAATATCAATCCATTTCTTCTGTTGAGATATTTCAGTAATAGTAATGTCCCTTGGTCACTTTATGAGCGCTATGGAGAGTGAGGTTAGTGACAAAGCTGCTGTTTTAAAGCCTCTGACCTTTCTTCTGTATGTACTAGATCCACAAAAAGGGTTGCTCCTGCTTACTTTGCCATCATGGTTAATATAATTATCTCATGTTGCCTCAGTTACTGCTGAAGTCTTTGCAAGTATCCCTGTGTGGGGGATCTTGATATGTACTGAAATGCCGGGTCCTTGGTGCAACTTGGTCGCTGTTACGTGGTGTCCATTCCTATGTCTAGTAAGCACCTGCCAAGATTTATCCAAGTGTAGATGGGCATGTTGCATCAGCATCTGACCTTAGACAAACCTAAGTTTTACCAAACAGTGTTGGTAAAAGGCCGAAAAAAGAATTATTCACGTCTTATTTCAGGGTCTTACCAATGGTTGTTGGTAAATGCTAGGATTTATCATAAGCGGGTAGTAAAAAGGTTAGGTTATCAAAAAAGTGTTTGTGCAAATCTAATGGTGTGTTATACAATTCCTAATGTCATAATAGCTCACCTTGTTGCAAAAAGTAAGTCTTGAAACAGCAGTAAAAAAATGTACTTTGGTGATTGAAATGTCTCATATTTTTTTGAAGTAAATACGTCTATATGGAAGGGTCATTCAACAAAAAAAGTTACAAAAGAGGGACAGAAAAATGTGTAAGATCTGTATCAACAAATCGACGACAATGTGTAAATATGGACCGACAACAATGGTCAGCTTGTGTGCATTGTTATGTTACCTAGGAAACGTCATCTGTTTACTCGGCATTGTTGTGTCACATTACTGCCGTCAACAATCCGCTTTCGTAACAAGATGGATGACATTGAAGATAACATTACATTACATTACTTTACTTTACATTAAATTACATTACATTACATAGACGTAAATATAATTTAAATACAGAGACATATTTACGTCAAATTCTCCGGAACCGTGGTTCCACTGTAACTTTTTTTTTCTATTTATTATTATTTTGACTTCTATCAAACTTTTTTAAAAAATGCAACTTAGATAAGGAATGTGTGTTTCTAAACCTGGAAATGGGGTTTTACCAACAGTGAACGGTAAAACCCCAAAATAAGATGCGAATAGTTTCTTTTTTGTTTTGTTTTGCCTTTTACCAACACTGTTTGGTAAAACCTAGGTTTGTCTGGTAAATCCTAGGTTTCACCAACATTTGGGGTTTTACGGTAACATATTACCAAAAACGGTTCAAAGATACTGCTTCTATATGATAGTTGATATGAAGTAGTCCACTGAGTACTGTCATGCTGTTGGGGAAGAAGACATTGTTTTGAGGAGTCAAAATGGGGGCTTCCACTGTTAATCCTTGTAGTTAAAGTCCAGCAAGTGCTCCTTCGTTCAGGGGTTTAAATACCCTATACTCATACATAAAAGGGAGTCTATCATTGCATCACTGTTCATATATAAGTCCTAAATATATTTGTTGTCTGATGCTTTGGATGTGTGTCAAATAAATGCAATAAATAATTAATAGTTACTTGGAATGATCAGAATTTGAGTTGTTAGCAGTATATTGAGGATTCGGTTCTAATTGGCTTCTGGAGAGGGGCTCTGAACTGTACACAGAAATGGATCCTGACATCCGCTCTACTCTCATCCGTTGTGCAAAGTCCAACAGCTGAATCTGTAACAAACAATTGTGAATCATGTTCATAAACCCATTACAAATCAACATAAATGAGACTGGTTGAGATAAACTTAGAAGATGCTATATGTTAAACCATTAAAAGAAACAACATAAAATGCATGACAGAGATACTTTAGACATGTGTAAGATGGAAAATAAGGATACTGTAATGAAGGATGAAGGTAAAAGTGGAACTGTAAGGGACTAGAAAGGAGGGAAACATGGAAGAAGCCTACTGGAAGCAACAGTGATAAAGCATCTTGTTTCAGACCACTTAATGGTACCTGGACCTTGTCATGATGGTGGGGCTTGAGTACCTCAGTGATCCCAAGAGCTATGCTGGCGGTAGCACAGCTACTGGTAGGGCCTCCCTAGCCAGATTGGTTGAGGGGGAGAGGTCAGACTAAGACAGGTACCCTGGTCCTCCAGGTTGGGGGTTGGTCGCAAGGCTAACAACCTTGCACCGTAAAAAGGAAGATGTTTTGAAACCTCGATCAAAGCCTCGGATAGAATGGACCTAACAGAGGACCGAAAGGAAGAGGAGAATTGAGGAGGCCATGGACCGATTACGGACCGGAGAGCCATAGAAGAATAATGAACAAGAAGTGGACCAGACAAGGAGTGTCTTGAATAAATTTATGGTGCTCCAAAGATACATTAACCATACAGTCAGTCATATGCTAGTGTACCTGGTGCTCCTTTGAAGTAATGCCTCTGCACTCTGCAAGTACAAGGTACGTGAAGGGTGAGAGACTGGGCGGAGCTTCTCTGTGATAGAAACTTATCCTGGTGAGACCCAGCTTGTCAGGAAGGTTCATGTAAATGTGACGTGCCCCTGTCCAGTCCTTCCAAGTATCCAGCATTACCTGTGCATAATATTAGTTGGAGGAGAAATGACTAACACTGTTATTGATGGATCAAGAAATATCCAGGAAATTACTATGAAATTTAACCTATATTGTGTGGATGTAGGGATTTATATCCCCGTACTAAGAGGCTGCTGGCCGGTCTTTTGCTTCGGTATGGTACCGCAATACACAGCCAGCTGGTCCGTGCATGATCCGCGTCTCTTGGATGATAACGGTTAAACGGACCATAATGAGTATTGATCTAACATGAAATTTTAATAGTGATTGGGAAAAAGGAACTGAAAATATTGAAGTATATGGAAAACAAATTATATGATACACAGCGTTTTGACTGATATTACAGGTTTGTAAATCACCAGGTGATATGACATGTGAAGTCATCAACATCGCACAATGAAAATGGTGTGAGACGTGCAGGAAGTTGCACACTTATATTGTCACTAGATGGTAGAGAAAGTACCAGGACTTCATACTAATAAAAGTGGCAGCTCAGAGCACAATGAGTGTATGCCATGTAACGGGTATCTGTTTTTTACAGCGAGACACCTTTACGGAATTGATGAAGTTTGACTTCAGTAGAGTACATAAACGTATTTTGTTACATTGAAATAATATCAGTTTAATACTACCTGACTGAAATTCCTCTCCAGAGTTTTGAAGCTTAAGAGCATGTAGGCAACATGATTGTGTTGAGATGACGAAAGTAACTCTGTCTCTGGAATAATGCTTCTCACCTCACGATATAATCCTGTAGAAACAGGCCACAGTTAAATATATGAATAATACTCTTAATATATTTTAAATCCGTATTTTAGATATCAAAATATTTTCAAAAGTATTTCATCAGGTAGCTGTTAAACAATGTGTGTTTGATAGGGGTTTTATTAAATTAATTATTGAAAAGTATCAACTCTTCAATGTCCATTGGCTACTATATTTACCAACTGCTTTAACAGTCAGTAACTCAGGATTTTGTAATTATGGGTTTC